ACATCCGCTGTCCACTCCTTTGTTCTCTCTCTAAGGCAATTAGCCTTCCTTAGGTATCTTCCTTTGTTCTGTGATCACCCCCAGGATCACACTTCTTCCTTGTGCTAGTACCACAGTTGACTACACATAGTTGTGCAACAAGATTTTGGCCAGTAACTCTGTTCAAAATGGAATATAAAAGGTAATAATCTATTACAAATATGTTGCCTTCTATTAAACGGATTAAAAAGACAAGCAAAAATAGTAGAGGAAAATCAAAGACAAGATATAATAAAAAATGTAAAGTGTGGCTGTAAGGAAAAGATACAAGCATAAATCTCAGAGTTCTGACAACACAGACATGCACAAAAATATTCCTCATTTGACCCACATCACACACTTTAATCCAAATGAATATTCTTCCAAACTTATTCTACCCAAGATAGTTTACAACTAGTTTTCAGACTTTCTAGGCTAATACAACTGTCACTTAATTTTTAAAAATTAGGGCAGTTCCTTTTAGAGGGGAGGGAAGAGCAGCATGTATAATTCAGTCTAGTAATCTAAACAAGAACATTTTAAAGACTGAACATTCCTAGGCTCAGTTTTGTTCTGAAAGCCAAACAGCAACCAAATCGAAACTGATGATGAACAGTTTCAATTTGATTGCTGTTTGGCTTTCAAATCAAAACTGTTTATCATCAAGAGTGGACAAGTTGTGGCCCATCAGATGTTGCAGTGCCTGTCACCTCTGATAAACAGTGAAGGATGATGAGATACGCAGTGAAGCAAAAGCTGATGAAACACAAGTTCAGGTGATATGAACCATTAAGTATCTTCACAGAGTAAAATCTAGCGGTTTATATCTCCAGAATTGAAACAACAGTGTAACAAATTCCCCTTTTTGCTGTACCCCAAAATTCAGTTCCAAGAGCTGGAGACCCTCTCAAGCAATTTGGAGGCGGGAGGAGGGGACATACTGTGATGTCGGATGTCACTCTCAGATTGCAAAGACCTTGTTGCTGTTATCAGCATAGTCTGGTGAAAAGTGCAGCTAATGCAGAATACACCACTCTTGCTTCATATTGCACATATGGCATCAACTTTCACATAGCTGCATTAATTACCTCACAGTATTATCTCAGATTTGAATTTATGGTGATTATCTGTCACATTCTAACTAGCTTTGACACATATTTTAGGGATATTTCTATGGAAGACTCTCCATAACTGATAACTTCTATCACATGGGTCTTTTGCACAGGACTTGGATGAAAAGAAAATTAATAGCTATCGGCTGGCTAGATAGCTTAGTAATTTAGGTATCTGACTGCAGACCCAGAGGTTGGAGTTCAATTCTCCACTGTGCCTCCTGTGAGCAGAACCAGCCGCTGTGGCCTTGGCCAAGCTGCACACAGGGCACCCCTAGAAGAAGGGAATGTAAACCACTTTCGAGAATTCTCCATCTTGAAAACCCTGTAAAGGGTCACCGTAAGTCAGAATTCATTTGATGGCACATGATTATTATTTATAGAAGATAACTGGGGCACTCAATGTAGTATAGCTGATATAGTGCTGGACTAGGATTCAGGAGACCTGCACTCAAATCCCCACTCAGCCACGAAAACTGAATGGAATTGTGGAACTAGTATAACCACTCCTTGGCTATCTTGCTTACCTTGAAGGCCCTATTAGGATCAATGTAAGTTGGTTCTAACTTAACAGCACATAACATACATCATTACTTTTTGGTGATGCTACAGACCCGGAATGTTTGCCCTCACTGCAAGTGTCACAGCCATCATTTTAATGGTAGACATTATGTGCAAGATTCCCTAGTCAACAAGGAATTTTACCCCTCAAATAGACAAGAAAGGTTTTGTGCTTGCTATTGTTTCAACACTGAACCAATCATCCTCTATTAATTATTTTACATCCTTCCTTCTTCATTCATGTCAGAAATACCATAATACAATAAAAATAATAATTTTTACATGTTTATACTACATGCTATTCAGTCGACTGGACAGCTCAGTGGAGTATCTGGCTGTGGAGCCATAGGTTTGGAGTTTTTTTCCTCACTGTGCCTCCTACAAATACAGCCAGCCAGTGTGACCCTGAGCAATCTGCACAGTCCCAGGGCACTCACAGAAGAGAATGGTATACCACATTGAAGTACAGTTTACCTGGAAAACCCTGGAAAAGGTTGTTATAAGTCAGAATTAACTTGAGAGCATATGATTATTATTATACGACATGCTGGCTGGATAGCTCCAAGGGTAGATGTCAGGCTGCAGAGCAAGAGATTGAGAGTTCAATTCCCTACTGTACATCCCAGAAGAGTCAACCTGTGTAGCCTTGGGTAAGTTCTGAATGCCCCCAGAAAAAGAGAATGATAAATCACTTCTCAAGACCCCATATCCAGAAACCCTGGAAAAGGTCACCATAGAATTGACTTTTATTACTATTATTATTACTATTATTATTATTACTACTACTACTACTATTATCATCATCATCATCATCATCATCATCATTATTATTAGTTGTTGTTGTTGTTGTTGTACCAATTTCGAAAGTGGTCCAGAAGTTGCAAAAGCTAATTAAAAATTAAGTTTTCATTTCATTTCTATTTGTTTTTAAAATCTCTGCACTATCTTTGAACGTGGTACTCAACAGTGCTTATAAAAGTGGCCAGAATTCTATTACTTACAGGAGCAAAGTAAGTCCACTGATGTAACTCTTAATCTTGTCACACATCAGTCACACAACTTGGCACACAACACAAAACCAGAAATGCCACATTCTTTAATATAATCATCATCATCATCATCATGTGTTCTCAAGTAAATTGACTGATGGTGATCCTTCATAGGGTTTTTCAGGTAGACAATACTCAAAAGTGGTTTACCACTCCCTTCTTCTGGGAAGCACCCCAGGACTGTGCAGCTTGCCCAAGGCCACACAGGCTGGTTCGACTCAAAGGAGGAAAAGGGGGAAAATGTACAGCGGTGCCTCACTAGACAGTTACCCCGCATGACAGTTTTTTAGCTAGACATTGACTTTTTGCGATCGCTATAGCGATTCGCAAAACAGTGATTTCTATGGGGGAATTTCGCTGGACAGTGTTTGGACCCTGCTTCACAAACCAATTTTTGCTAGACAACAATTTTGACAGCTCCCTCCGTGCTCGCAAAACGGATGTTTTCAGGACCTACGCTTCGCAAGACAGCGATTTAAACAGCTGATCGGCGGTTCGCAAAGCGGCTTTGGCCGATCTTCGCTAGTCAACGACGATTTTTCCCCATTGGAACGGATTAAACAGGTTTCAATGCATTCCAATGGGGAAATGCTTTTCGCTAGACAATGATTTCGCTAAACAGCAATTTCAGTGGAACAGATTATCATCGTCTAGTGAGGCACCACTGTACTCTCAACCTATGGCTCTGCAGTCAGAGACCTAAATCCCTTACCTAAATAACGCCAAATCGCCACTAAAATTTTGCTGGTGGACTTACTCTGGCCCTACTCAATTGCATTCTGGACAGTATAGTATATCATACAAAATAAATACAGTGATCCAATTTTTTTTTAATAATTGGGCATATTATGTTATTTAGTTCAGATGTACTTAACATTGCAAAAAAGGAAGTCTTGTTGCCAAAATAACAGAAAATGATACTAAAAAGCTGTACCCAATTAACATTAGGCTTGGCTATACTAGAGATCATCTTATATAAACCTAGGTTGGGATAGACTAATTTTTTCTATTATACCCCTAAATCTTTCATATTACTTCATTGAAGGATAGGACCACTTGGCTCCCTTACCTGCTGGCCTTCAAAGAAGCAACCAAGCTAGTATTTTGCACTTCAGAACAGAGCATAATAAAATGTACCAGTGCCATATTCTTTCATTAATTTTCTCAATATTAAAGACATATATTTAGCAGTAACAGAACTACATAGGCAAGCCAGTTTAGCATGCAGGATGATCAAATCACACAGAACAACAGTGTATTTACATAAAAATGAGACAGTGAGACTAATTAGAAGTTCTGAACACTGTACATATTTACATATTATTCAAAACAGCATTTCCTGTGGAATATTCTTGTCCCGATCTCTTTCCATTCCCAAAACCAGAAAAAACGAAAATTAAAAAAAATGCTGATAATTTGGAATAACTGCTCAGAGCATTGGAACCCATGCATACCAACAGATCACAGGTGAACAGAAATACTAACTCTGGATTGGCATTCAAAGCCATGAAAAAGAAGCTACCAAGTATTATATACTTTGAGACACACTATAATATCTGGCAACTTCTTTTTCCACAAATGAAAACACATGTGGTATTGTGCTAGGTTTTGATATGGAAACCTAAGATTTAATGCTCTGCTCTTCACCACTGAATGCTAAGTGCTATTTTATACATTGTTCCTGCTGTTACATGCCATCAAGCTGCCTCCAACTTACTGTGGCCCTATGAATGACCAATCTTCAAAATGCCCCATCCTAAACAGTCCTGCTCAGCTCAAATAAACTCAAGGCTGTGGCTTCCGCAGGGAGCCAACATACACACTGCATGACAATCATAAATATTTACTTCTGTGGGGGCAATATGACAGGCATTTTCCTGTAATACCTGCTAGGTTATGAAAATACCTAGTTTATTGTATATCACATGTTGGGAATTTTTAAGGTACTATAAAACACTTGGTTTTGCTGCAACAGACTATGGAAATATCTGTATGATACATGTTTTCCAAATTATTTACATCTTTTAGGTTTTATCCATAACACCTAAATGAAGCAATCTAAATGTAATCTACTTCACAGGTTGACCCACAGGATGCCAGTATTCTGACCTCCTGAATTTGAAATAACTTTAATAACATTTTTATGAATCCTGCATCTTTGGAATCTGGAGGAATGTTTCTGATAGTGTTTGCAAACATTTTAACATGTATTAGCATATGCAATTTAACAATGTAAACACACTGCAAGAGAAGAGCTTACCTCCATTAATTGGCAATGGTGCAAGAAGCAGGCCTGTGACAGCTCTTTTGGGAGAATCCTGCCCATAGCGTGCACGCTCAAGTATTAACGAAGCAGGACGTTCAGGATTCAATACAGTCACATTTATAACAGCCGTATAATACGCTTGACTGGTATCTGCATTAACTAGGAGAGCATGGCAGTTAAAGAAGACCAAAACAGGCACAGAAGATACACAGGTCCAATAAGGCAAAACCCAGTTTAGGATCATTTTCAGCCTGAATAAATGTTACTGTCTTCCAAAACTCTCCTGAACGAAAAAAAAACCTATGTATATTGTGTGCATAAACACGTATTATTCCGTACCAGTCATGAAATGGGTGATAACGATCTGAAGAGAAAAGGAGGACATCCTAGATGTCTGGCCCTTTGTATCCATCCAACCGCTTCAGACTGTTTAGGATGCTTAAGATGGAGGAGAAGGAGGGGTCGTTTTAAACCCAATTTAAAAAGGAAAAAAAAAGAGAAGTGAAGACACCCGGGTATATTACAAGCAACACAGCAGTTGGGAGGCAGCGCAGCGAAGGCGGGGAAAGCCGGCCGAAGACGCTGGTGTCCAAATGCGGAAGCCGGACCGACCACCTCTGCAGGTTCCCCAACCAAGGGGAGCCGCTTTGGGCCTGCCTAGGCGCCCCTCGCGGGTCTTTCCCTGAATTTCGGCCAAGGAGACGGAAGAAGAGGGAGGGAAAGGAGCGCAGTCCGTAGTGGCGCTCCCCGCCACTCTCCCGGCTCTTTGTTGCTTCGGGGCCGGAGAAGAGGAAGAAGCGGAGACCGACAGTCCAGCCGTGAGAGAAAGGAGGAAGGAACGAGGAAGGTGGGCAGCCCGCGTCGTCGGTTCCCGCCGCCGACTCCTCCTGGGCGGCTGGGGTTCTTCCTGCCACTCGGTGAGGGCTGGGTGGGAAACCGTTTAGCTCCGCTGCCTCGACAGCCCGCAGCCGGCGGACCCTCCCCGGGCTCGCCGTCGGGTCTCCAAACCGAGCCCAACTTCGCACAAAGCCGCGAACAGACCCCCCCCCACACACTCCTCTTCAGCCCCAGGCGAGCGACTGCGGCGGAGGCAGGCGCCGGAGCTCCATGGAGCCTCGTCCGAACCGCTTCGTGCCCGCTCGCGCGCCCCGAAACCAAAGCGAGCCAAGGGGCCCCACCCACCGAGAGGGGGCGAGCGCGCGAGGGCGCGCGAGCTCAACCGTCAGTCTCTTCCCTTCCTTTTTCTCTCCGTTACCCAACCCGGGCAGCCGCGCCAGTGCCGGAGTCCTATGGCGGAACCACCAACAGCAACCTGCCAGTTAGCCTCTTGCGCCGAGTGCGCAGGC